GGTTTCGCCCCTCCGAGAGAGAGAGAGAGAGAGAGAGACGCACACACACATAAAGATGAGATTGCAAAATAAGCAACTCAATGACAACGTATTCTCGAGTGATTTTGATGAAAGTAGTGGGAGATAAATATGACGATTGAGTGATAATAATGTCTTCAGTTGAACTTTGGTGAACATAAAATGACAGAAAGTTAAAGATGAGTGAGCTTCATAGTGGCAGTAGTATGATGTTTGTTTGACAATCATAACATGTAATGACGATTGGGTCACGAAAATCACCCACTAGTGGCTGCTAATTGTAATCTTTGGTGTTTTGTTGTTAGACAGAACTCCGTTGTCTTTTAAATTCTGGTGCCCTATCTTTTATTCAAATTTTGATTATTTTTCAAGAAAATAATAATTTTGTTATAATTTTTTAAAGTGACGCATAAATTATTTTGGTCAAAATCTCAAAATACTTGAAGAACAACTTTTGTTATTTGATCATAAATCATTATTTAAACATTTACTGCCTTAATAATATTAAAATTATGTGATCTTATGCTCTGTGAAATCCATTTATTAATACATTTAATTTGAATATAATCACATAAGATGCAAAGTCTATTTGATGACACAATTAATTTATATACTTTTTTTGCTTTGCTAGATTTTACTCATCAAGATATTCAATTTAAATTTGTTGAAATTGGAGGTGGATAATCGAGAATTTTATTTTACAAAATCCTAATTATAAAATAATATTAATATTTTTGTTTAATTGAATTATTTTTTTTATTACATATCAATATATATCAAGAGGCTTGGCTCCACTCAACCCACAAAAATATTCAAAATTAATTATTTTTTAAGGTTATTTCAAGTGAAATTTAAGCACTCAACATCGATTATTAGTTCTGAATTTTAAGATAAAGAGATGTAAGACAAAAGATATAATGAAAAATTGTCATAGAATTTGATGATGACATCTAAAAGACACAAATACAATTATTTTTATAAATAAACATTAGGATTTTAACATTTGGGATGTACATGAAGAAGTTAATTCTGTGTGGGATAAAGTAACAAACACTATTAAACAATTGACAAAGATGTACTTGGAGAATCGAAAATATAATTTTTTATAAATAAAAATAATTAGTATTGGAATAATAATGTGCAAGAAAAGATAAAATATAATAAGTTATGTTATAAAAACTTAGGGAAATGAGAAAAATATGACCGTAGGGAGTCTAAGAGAACAATTTGTGCCGTTAAGAATTCTGCTTTTAGTAATCTTTATAATATGTTAGATATTAAATAGAGTGAAATATATATGTATAAACTATTCAAACAGCGAAAAGAAAAGTAAAGATATAATTCAAGTAAAGTGTATTAAAAATGAAAAAAATTAAAAAGTATTTTTCTTAGAGGAAGATATTCAACATAAGTAGGTATATTCAACATAAGCAACATAAGTAGGTGAGTTATTTTGATAAAATTTTCAATGAAGTTTCAGAAAATATGATCGATCTTAGTGATCGTAATATCATTAATAATAATAAAACTTTTTATTTATGCTGTCACATTAGTAAAAAGAAAGTAGAGGAAGTTTTAAAGAAAACTAAAGGTATATTAGTATGATCCGATGATATCCTTATTGAAGTATGGAAATATCAAGAAGATTTGTGAGTTTCTTGGCTTACAAACTCTTCAATATTAACTTAAAAACTAAAAGATGTCTGAGGAGTGGAGGAAGAGTAATTTGGTCTCTATTTTTAAGAAAAAAGGGGATGCACAAAAGAGTGCAAATTATAGAGGAATTGTTACTCTTTCATACTTTAAAACTATATGAGAGGGTGATTGGAGGTTAAGATGTGATACAATAATTTCTCATAATCAGTTTGGACTTATTTTGAGCAAGTTTATTATTGAAACTATACATTTATTGAGAGATTTGATGGAGAAGTACAAAGAGAATAAGAAAGATCTACATATGATTTTTATTAATTTATAAAAAGCTTACGATAAAGTTCCAAATTCCCTGGAGAGTTCTAGAGAAGAAAGAGGTTGATATGAGTTATATTCAAGTCATACTAGAGTAGTTACTTGTGTTAGAACAGAAGAAGGATTGACCAAGTATTTTCCTATTTCAGTTGGATTACTTCGTGGATTGACCAAGTATTTTCCTTTAAGCCCATATCTTTTTGCTTAAGTTATGGATGCTCTTACTGGACATATACACGAGGATGTACATCGGCGTATGTTTTTCGCTGATGATATCCTTCTTGTGAAAAAGATTAGAGGATTTTAGGAAAAACTTGAATTATGGTGGTCTACATTGGAGTCTAAAGGCATTCATTTGAGTAAATCTAAAATTGAATACATGGAATGTAAATTTAGTACTAGTAGCTATAGTGGCAACGTTGTAACTTTGGGTGATAAAATCATTGAAAGTTGTGAATGTTTTAGATATCTCGGGTATTTTGTTCAAAGTAGTGATGATATAGATGAGGATGTTATTAGTAGAATTCAGATTGGTTTGTTGAAGTATGCATCAGGCTTATTGTGCAATAGAAAAGTAGCGCTTAGGCTTAAAGGAAAATTTTATATGATGGTGGTGATAACTACAATGCTTCATGACACAAAATGTTGGTCTTTAAAAGAGAAGCATAAAACAAAGTTATGTGTTGCTGAGATGAGAACGCCTAGGTGGATGAGTGGCTTGACACTTATAGACAAAATGTAAAACGAATTTATGTTGGTGTAGCTCCAGCTGAAGACAAGATTAGAGAGAGTCCTCTTAGATGATTTAGTCACATTAAACTTCAACCATTTTTATGATCTAATTAGAAGAGTAGATGTTTTAGATTCAACTTTTATTAAGAAAGGAAGAGGTGGACCTAAAAAGACTTGGACATATTGTATAAAAAATGATCTTAATCTATCGAAATTAAATAAAAATATGACACTTAATAGGACATAATGGAGAAAAAGGATTCATGTAGCCGACCCCACTTAGTGGGATAGAGGCTTGTTGTTGTTGTATTTATTTTGAGCTAAGTGAGGTTTGTAGTTCGATTTGTTATCTGTTAGAGAAAAGACACTTTCAAATTCTTATCAATTTTATTCCAAAAAAACTTCTCTTACAGACAACTTGAAAATTTTAACCGAATCCAAAAAATCCATAAGAACTAGAGGACAAAAGCTCTCCAACTTTGCCTTAGAACTCTCTAAAAATCTCCTAATTCCTTCATAAAAGATCCTTCAATATGAAACAATTGCTATTCTAGAATAAATAACCGAACTTACCTCCACCATCTTTGGGCTACGTTATCTGACCAATATAAACAAATGATAAGTAATTGAAAACCTTTGAATATGATAAACAAATCTTCGTTCATCTATAAACTTCATTAGAAAGATCAAAAGTGAGAGATATTGATGGTTTCCTTAATCAATTATATCATTATGTTTACTATATCGCCTAGAAGGCCTATGTGAGCTCTCATTTACTTTAAATATTTATTATATTTTCTATTCATCCTCTCAACTACTTCATTGTGATAAAAAAGTTAATGAATTGTTCTCAACATACAAATTCCTTAAGTACCACAATAAGTTTTAATTTAATCTGAGTGATATCCCCTGTTACTCTCTACCTAAAAGACATTTAATTTTGCCTCCAATTATATATATATATATATATTTTTTCAAAAATAATTCGCTTCATAAATGTTGAGAAAATGCCAATTTTATTTTTAAGAAGAAAAATTCACACCTTTATATCCTCATCTATGAATTTGACCTAATACAATGATCAAATTAGGGAATCAATAGAAGATAATACCTATAAAATTGTGTACATTAGCTTTGACCTTTTGGCTTTTAATTTTCCCTCAAACTTGAAGAAATTGACCCACATTCCTTTACCTAATTTATAATCTTCAAACAAAACATCAAACATAGAAAATTACCTTTAAAAAAAAAAGACTCTTAAGCCATTTCTTACTTGCATTACACAATCATTGATGCTATAAATTTGAATATGTATTGGTGACGGCTTTTAATGTAGATGTGATAGCGCAAATAGCATTTGTTTTATTGTCACAAGAAATCACCAAGGTATATTTTTTCACTTTTGAAAGAGAAAAATTTTCTCCTCAAATTAAGGACATGCCTAACTTTGTTTAATGTTTATTTGTATTTATTGTTTTAATTGTTATATCTCTAATGCTTGTAATATTTGAAGGCTAATTGTTAGTAAGAAAAACTTCACCATAATTCTTTATTTAACAATCTAGAATTGGATGTTTATCCAAAGAAGAATAAAAAGATACACCCAAATCAAACTTGAAAATAAGTAAATATAGAACAAGTGAAAACACATTATTGCTATTATCCTCAATGTTGGTGATGTAATAAAGCCAAATACTAGGGATGGTTCTCCGAGAGGTGCAAATGACATAATTGAATGCGACTAATACAATTTTATTAAAAAGGTTACAGAGACTACTTAGGCTTGACAGGATAATTTTACTCTAGGAGATAAAGTTGAAAACTTAAAGTGATGAGTAAGATGGTTTCGAAAAGAGGACTAGACTAAATGTTATTCTTCCCAATCTAACTACATTGCTTTGTGTGTTGTCTACTATTTTCTAGTTGTTTCCTCCTCCAAGACTAGGGCCAGCCAAGTTAACTTAATGCCCCCACGTCTCTAACTTAATGGCATGTACAACATAGCCATTAAATAGTATTTCATGTAATACCCAAAAGCTTCCAAGTTCTTATGGAAAGAACCATAGGTGGCTTCACATAACTTTATCAATTGGCTGTTAAGTGGGCAAAATATCCTTCCCCGAAGAAAAGAAAAACAAGGTGCTCTTCCATGAGGCATTGTTTGCAGAAAAAAACCCAAAAAAAAAGCCATCCATCCACTCAATATACACACCATGTATATATAACACAAACCTATATTCTATAGTTTATTATCAATAATTGAATGAAACAATGTTCGTTCTTTACACATTTGAATCAATCCCCCAACCTTGAAACCACTTATAAAAATATGAATAAAGAATGAAACATCTAAAGGCCCAAAACCCCCTCGCTCATCACCTAAAATTGACAAGAGAGAGAGTTCCTAAAAACAACAATTTGAATGGAACTAAAAATAACACAAAAATATGAACAAATTGAGAAGAAACCATCCTAGTAAACCAATTCAAAATCTCCTTACCGCCATTTAACATTCCAACAAAGCTAACCTGATGTTTAACAACGTTCAATGGATGAATATTAAGGCTGATAACAAAAGCGGACTGAACTCCTTGTGCAGACACGAAAGGCCACCAAAGTACTCGTCGATGAACCCTCCTCTTCGCCTTTCTAATATGCTTGAGCTCCTTTTCAATAACCATACGAATTGATCTCAAGTAAGAATTCACATCATGGTCTCTGAAAATAGTTCCCTCGGAGCCATAGGCCGAACGGTCACTGAGAGTCTCGAGAGGGTGAGGAGAGTTGAGAAAAGCATATTGAGCGGACTGTAATAGCTTCATTGATTCTTTAGTTTCTGCTGATGAAAGGTCCATGAGATAAAGACCACTGCCAGAAGGAAGAAGGTGGTGATGAGGAGAGAACTTTTCTTCTGGCTGTAGGATTAGAAGTTTCCCCATTGGAGCATATAGAAGACTCTGCAGTGTTGATCAATGGCGCATATGTTTGGTTAGGATGAAGTTTTCTTAAAATATAACACTAAAGATAGATATTATATTCTTGGTTATAGAAGAAACCTGATCTAATTGAATCCTAGTTCAAGTTACAAGATCAGAAAACCATGGGGGAAAAAAGAAAATCTACCTGCAAAGCTCAGTTTTCGAATATATTTCATATCCAATTTCTTTGAATGAATTTTAAAACAAGGAACTTAAGAGAAATTGATAATAATTCATAGAAAATTAGTCTAGCAAAATGTTGGGTTTGAGGCTTGTTTTTCTTCTCTTCCCCTCACTTATACCAAACCTAAGGCTTGTTCGGGGGGATAAATTTTATTTTTATTTTTTTCTTTGTTATTAAGAACATATTTGTTTAATATGTTTTTACATAGTTGTATTTCTTATTTCAAAAAAATAAATTGATATATTTTTGAAAACACTCAAAAAATTTTAAATATTTTCAGTGTTTTTAAAAACAAAACTCATAAGGGGCCGTTTGGGATCACTTTTACTTTTTTTTTTAATTTTTTTTTATATTTTAATTTGAAAAAAAACATGTTTAACATGTTTTATTAAGATATTTTTATTTTTGAAAATACTCAGAATAATCGTTTTGAATGTTTTCAAAAACATGTTTATTTATATCTAGAAATAAAGAAAATAATAAAAATACATTATACAAACATCTTTTTAGAAAGAAAGGAAAACCCTAGAAAAAAAACAAAATAAAAAATTGATTCCACACAAGCCCTAATCAAATTCGTCAAACATATTTTATTTAGAAAAAAACAAATAAAAAGTAAAATAAAAATAAAAAGTGATCTCAAATTGCCCCCAAGAAGTTACTTCAAGTTATGGTATACATTCCTAATAACTAGCTTAAAGCAAATATAGTGTTAAAATGTTTGTAAAGATGTTAATACACCAACAGCAACAGCATAAATTCAGTACATCATCACAACTCTTCTACATCTAAAAATTCAACAACCTACTTTGTTTCATGAATAATTGAAAGAAAGAAAAGCATAGCAAAATAACTTTCAACACCTACAGACAAAAGAAAACCCTCATGACCATACCTGGTATTTTAGACAAGGATGATTACGAAAGTTTCTGTTAACAGCCTTAAGAATCTTAGCCACTTGATCCGGATAGTGGCACGAAAAAGCACGGGGAACGATGTCCCTATGTAATGTAATGGCCTGAACATGAGTTCGAGGCATTCCAAGCTTGTGAAGTAAGTAGTCGCCTCCACACATAATTGACGGCGCACCGAAAGTGACGACCGGCAGTAAAGAAGAGGGAGGTGCATCTCCTCGTATTAACAACATAAGGTTCACAAGAACGGCGAGGCTTCCTCCAAGAGAATGGCCGGTAAACCGGAAAAAAGCATTGTTACCCTGACACTTCTGGTGGGCTTGAACCTCTGCTAACATTTGCTGATAAATCCCCTTGGCAGCCTCGTAGATGCCTCTGTGCACAAGCACATCCAGTCCCTAAAGCCAAGGAAAAATAGTTGGAGACTTAGAAGTTGAGATAAATACAGTAGTGGTTTTGGCAATGCTGAATAAGGTGCATGTATACGTATATTAATTCAATAAAGAGAAAAAGGATAAAATTATCCGCAAAAACCGATGTGCTAAATGCTGAAGTTTAAATGATGTATTACAACATAAAACATTTGCAATATTTATAGTAAACATGAGCAGTAAGTTTGTCACCACTATTAATCAATTCTATCATGGTAGTTCATATACAAAAGATCTTATAAACTTTTACACAACAATAGTTGCTCCACAAGTATATGCAAGGTCTTTGGTTTTCCTTGGAAAAACCAGCAAAATCTTAGTCTTATTAGAATTGGGTGGTTATTTGCAAAGAAAAAAAAAGATATTTTCTCAACAAATTTCAATAATACCTCAAACTGAACAGGCTCAAATAGAAGATTAGCTTGCCAGGCTGCCAAAGACTCTGAGCCCTGAAAATCAAAATTTGCAGGGGTGAGAAAATCTACCAAATACTCAAAAGAAAGAGAAATCCATAACCAGCTTATGAACACATCTAGATAAAAGTTTTGTATGTTGACCTGAATAACAAAATATCTTGTTCGACTCTTATCATCGTCACATATAAACCACTCGCATGGTGAGGAGCACACTGAATTCAAATTTTCTGCAACAGCATCCTTCATCTCCTCCTCTCCAGAAATCACAGAAGTGACTGAATTGGTCGTGGCAACAAAAGAATCCATTTGTGAGCTTGTAACAGCAGCTTCATCTTCATTTGAAGAGCCACTAATGGAGGGATCATCCCCAACCTCTGACTTCACAGTTCTTTGAGGAAGAATGTTCTTTGTTTGAGATTGCAGATAGGTGGCAGCAGAAGCAACAATTCCATAGGCTGCAGAAGCACTAATGCCTCCACCCTTTTCACCATCAATCTTATTTTCTTCATTTTTAGTTGTTGGCTCTGCGAGAGTTTTGACTTGATTTGGTGTTGATCCCTCAAGTTTAGACAAAATGGCTTTCTTCTCCAATGAAGATGTCACATAATGGAGGCCATGGTACTTAAGAAGCCTAACTGGCTGCAAGGAAACCACATTACATAGTTACTATGGGCTTGAAAACAATCTCAAGATTATAAAGCAAAACTTATTTTCCTAAAAATAGTTGGTTGTCTTTTATGAACTAGTGTGTAACACACGGATTTAGGCATAACCAAATACACGTGGGATTTTAACTATAGCCAAACGTAAGAGATAAATCATTCATAAATATGAAGTTCAGCTCTATTTTATCAAGCAATATGGCTTTCAAAGCCTTACCTTCAGTTAAAGTTTAGGGCAAAAAATAAAAAGAAGATTTTGGCGACTTAGTTATGAATTAAAAAAAAAAAGTTTTTTTTTTTTTTTTTTTTTTTTTGTGTTCCCTCTTTTCTTCCTGCATTCAGTCTCATCTAAGACGTAAATCCAAATGTAAGGTGGATTTAAGAATTTTTTCTGTCTGTCACTGCCGAGCTCTTCTCCATCTCACAGAACTCCATAATTGTTTTTCCAAATCAGTGAGCTCCGAAAGGGGCGGGATTCATTACATCCGATCGTCCCCCACGTCTCCCAAATCACAAAATAGAAATCAGAAAGGTCCAAAATCATGAAATATACAGCATCCTCTCAACAGCTACGCTCTTCATCTCCTTCCCCGATCACAAAAACTCAAAACCAAACAAAATCCAATTTCCAACACCGCCGTCCTTGAACAGGATTCAGTTTCAAACATCACAGCGCGGTCAAAAACATTAAGAACATCCAAAAAAGAATAAACCCTAATTAAATCACATATTGTCAATCCATCGCATCAAACATTCACAATCCCACACAAGATATAAAACATCTAAGATCAAGAAAGAGCAAACAATCAGGATCCGCTTCAAAAAATTTCTTACCTCGATATCTGGTATGTTGTACGAAAGTTTCCCCAAATAAGACATCTTCGCGTAGAACTTCGCTTCCGAAAGCGAAACCGAGCGGAGAAATCTCGAGAACGACTCCCCATCAAACTCCACTCGATCCCTCTCCTCCTTCTCCTCCACAGAGCATCCCTCAACCCCATCCTCCCCGCCGCACCACGCACATCTATCCCCGTCATCCCTCACCTCCTCCTCCTTCTCCTCATCAACAGGATCCTCCTTCCTCCTTTCCGTCCACAACGAACCCACGCGCAGAATCTTCATAACCCAACTCCCCCTTCTCGATTTCTCATTAGCCATGGATGTAGCATCCGGTGGGGCGACGGTGGAAAGATGAGCAGGAGGCGGGAGGTGAAGTTGCCGGTGATCTAACCCGACGGCCATTAAAGGGGCGGATATCCCCTGTATGAAGCGGAGAGCCTCCATTCCAGACAAAGATTCCTCCTCCTCTTTCTCTCCGTTTCTTCCTTCCTTGTTTCTGGGAGGAATGCGGGAGGGATGGGAGGGCGAGGTGGAGAAGAAAAAGCTCACTTTGATTCCATGGTGGGAGAAAATGTAGAAAGGGAAACCCAACGGCTTCGAGGTTTCCCTACCGAACCGGATTTTATTGAAAATAAAAAATACAAAAAATTTACATTTTCGCGCAAAAAAAAATATAATATATAAGAAATAGTAGGATTTTATTAGACGAGTCACAAAATATTTGAGTACAATACTTTACACACGGGAAGAATCAAACAAGTGACCTGAAGAAACTTATGACTTTCAGAAAAATTGTTCTACTAACATACCACAGTACAGACGCACGTGCATGCGTCACAGATATATATATATATATATATTGAAGTTTAAGTATCAGATTTGTAAATTCATAAGAGTTAAGTGTTATCTCTTTAAAGTTAATAATTTATATTTATATTTTTTTGGTGTTAAAGATTTATACATAAAAAATATGTATTTTATTTAAAAAATTTAATAATTATAAGAATTTTAATGGGAAGTTAAATGTTTGACGGTCAAAGTTTAGGTGCTAGATATGTAAATATATAATAATTGTATTATTTTTATGTATATGCCTAATATATTTGTTTGAAAGCGGACGGTTTGATTGGTATATATATATATATAATCATATATCTTATATTAAAATGGATTAAAAAATGAATAAACTTATATAATTAATGTTATGATAAAATTCATACTAAAAAAAAATTAAAAATGATAGAATGATTTGTGAGTTCTTTTTAATATAATTTATAATAAAAATACTCTTGAGATATTTTTAGCTCATATAGAAGCTCAAATAAAATAATAATAATAATTCTAATGTCTTAAATCGATTTTTTATAAAACACTTTTATATATTCTAATACATATAAAATTTTTATTACATTTATAATATTAATTAATTAAAATTATGATCCTATGTTTTTATTAAATATTAAGTTTAACATAATATTTTTATTATTTTAAATTTATTTGATAAACAAAATCTTAAATTATTCTTTATTAAAAACAAGCCACTATCAAGGAAAAAAATATTACATCAACTCCCTACGTAAAGTTACGAGCGAAGTCCAATGAAATTACGCCGTAGAGTTGTTCAGCCCGGTAACACAAAAGAATATTCCCCTCGTGTTATTCCATATTATTCAAGTGTTATTGTGTTATGGGAATATTCTCGGTATTATAATAACACAATAAAACATCAATAATATTTAAACAACACACAATAACACCTGAATAACACACAATAACACCTGAATAATACGAGGGGAATATTCCTTGTGTTACCGGGTCGATCACCTCCACAGCATAATTTTATTGGACACCGCAAGTAACTCTACGTGCGGAGTCGATCTTCCACATAATCCAGAAAATATATATATATATATATATATATATATATATATATATTTTATTCAGAAGTAAAGATCCGATTTTTCTTTCCCGACTGGAGAAATATACACTCCATGTCGTCTATCGTCGCGTGTCGGCGAGAAGTGACAAGTGGCGCTCATTCGGTTCAAGACTACTATTAATAACCCGACCGGTCCATTGGTAGATATAAACCGGTCCAAATTGGAATCTGTACATTCGGCCAGGTCCAGACTTCCACTTCTCAAATTCTCTCTCCAATTTAAGAATTGTATTTTACTCTTTGAATTGAATCCTGACACTTCCGGAAATTTAGTCCCAAATGCCGTGGTGTTGTTGCACCGCAGTTTTTATTGTTTGGTAAAACTATTTTCCTACCTGCGTGTTCGCAAAAAACGCTCATCAAATAGTGGCAATAATAGTAAAATAAAGTCAATTAGTGTAATTTGGTACTCTAACCTCTTGTTATTAAAGTATATTATTACGAGCTCATCGATCAATCAGTGAAATCAAACAAAATGTACTTAATAATGAAGCTCATCGAGCAGTGGCATCAATCGTATCCCAGTCTGTTGGTTGGCATCATAGTTGTAAGACCCTTCGGGTCGGGGATTCGAGTAACCCTTTGGCGACGTGAGTCTTAAAAGGATAGTATTCAAATTGTTAGATATATTAGGAATGACTGGAGGCTCGTATAATAGCCTCTGACCATACCTTTATTATATATATATATATATATATATATATTAGATTAATGGTATTATGATTAAGATTATAAGCTTCATTATTTTACACAAGTGAATCATATTTGATTATATTAAATTAAGGTGCATTTGGGGCAGTTTGTGCGTTTCAAGATAAGCTGTTTATCATAAAATCGCTGCCTGCGGGCTGACGGCAGGGGTCGACCTGCGGCCCGCGTTTAGTATAAAAACTCAAACGCAGTTTCGAATAAACTGACGAAACGCGCAAACCAAACGGTACGGCGGCGTCTTAAAAACACCACAAGCACTTATAAGCTGCCCCAAACGGGCTCTTATTTATATAGTGACACATACTTCAACTTTATACATATAGACGCATTCTTTTCAGAGCTATCAGCCTGACATCAAGATGACTTGGAGCGGTGATTGAATGAAGAAAATCCTTCTCCGAAAAGGAATGTAGCTCATGCAATAATAAAATTTAATTAGTAGGAGTAATAATAATTATATTAAATATTTACATACATACCACTCGATTTTTAAGTATTTATATATCTTGCATCAAAATTCCAATTTTTACATATATGCCACTGTAGAGCATTTCACTATTTTAAATTTGAGAGGGTGGTCTTTATAAAAATTAAATGGTGGTGCTTTACACGTAAATGCCAAGGAATTTGGTGTAATGTGTGTAAATGCCCATAATAATGATGACAAGAGGTTGATTGATTTTTGTACTCTAAAAAATGAGAAATTACTGCATACGGTGTCCGATCCTGACCGTAGATCACGGTGATCTATGGTCAGGATTGTTACAGTTTTTTTAAAAAAAAAATTAGGTGGGACCCACCAAAATACATCCTGACCGTAAATCACCTGATTTACGGTCAGATCCGTATGGAATAATTTTTCCTAAAAAATAGCAAAGGGACAACAGGTTGTTCAGGCTCAAGATGAACTTGCTAGTCGAGTTCAAGATGACCCCCATCATTTGTGAAAAAAAATATTACTTCCGGATGTCTGCACGTTTGAACGGCCAACCGTAGGGCAGCACGATGTCCGACGCCGATGTAGATGTCTGGACGTAAAATTTTGCAGGTGTGCAGTGTCCAGATATAATATTGTCTCTGTCATTTGGGTAGGAGACGAACTCACCCACCATGATCAAGGGGGACACACCGAATCCAAGGATAACTCATTAAGATTTATGATAATTTGACAATTGCATAAGAATAAGAAGCTCATAGATAGTCAGCTATTAATAAAAGTTCCTACTCAACTACACACCACTTATACTTTACATCAGTTTTTTTTACTATTTATGTATCCAACTATGTAATTTTCTGGATACTCAAACCTAGAATTATAAGTGAGTCAAGCCGACTCGAGTTCGGCCTGATAAGTGGCTGAGCCGACGAGCTAACAAGCCAAGCTCAAGCCAACCCCAACTCGACTCTTCAGCCTGCGAGCCGGCTCATTTAATAAAAAAATTGATATAAAATATAGTCAAAATGTATAGAATTTCAAGATTTTATATTTAGAGTATTAAAAATATTTAAAAAATAATATTTAGTACTGTATATTACTTGATTTTTTATTATTTATCTCCTCATTATTCATTCAAATTGACAGCTTATAATAAATCCAACTTAAATTAATATCAACTTCTCTCATTTATAATAAATAAGTCAGCTCAAACTCGAAGACCCGAGTTCGAGCTCGAACTTGATAAAATTAATCAAGCTCATGCTCCACCTCAAGCTGAGGTTGGCTCGAGCTCGACTCAACTCGATTACACCCCTGCTCAAACCCAGATCTCAACCTATGTCCACGAGAAAAACCAAGCATAAAACAATCTTGTAGAATCACTTGTATTCAAAATTATCTATTCTAGAAGTTCTCAGAATCTCAAAGCTCTTCTTCTATTTTGCTCACTGCTAAGTAGAATCACAACATCATTCATGCGCATATAACCCAAGTTTTAAAGTCATTGTCAGAAAAATACATCTCTTTTAGAAGTCTAATGATAAATTGCTATAATTGTTGCTACCAAGATGAACAAGAATATATATATATATATATATATTTCAATTTTGGCACTGGTTGTGCCTTTCACTTGAAGCCTTGGCAATAACTTTGTGGTTAGGGGTGTAAACGAGCCGAAAGCTCGTGTTCGGCTCGTTCATATTTCGAGCTCAAAAAGTGTGTTCGTGTTGGGCTCTTTTGCTTAGCAAGCCGAACACGAGCCGTTCAAGAACAAAGGGTTGATTTGACAACCCTTATCATGTAGCCATAAGATGTTAAGGATTGTGACAAAATTTAAAACATCATTTGAATCTAATTTAACAATTTTTATTCTATTTTCTTCCTTAATACTTTTAATTGATTATAAATCTTTGCAGCCTTGTAGTCAATTAAATTTTTTAAAAATACTAATCATCAAAGAAATATATATAATTGATTAGTAGTATTTCGAGCCAAAACGAGTCGAACACGAACGAACAAATATTTGTTCGTGTTGTTCGTGTTCAGCTCGTTAACTCAGCGAACGAGTCAAACACGAGCTTCTTAACGAGCCGAACACGAGCAATTGGCGAACAATGAGCCGTTTTGACAGCCCTATTTGTGGTCTGTCATGAAAACCTTATATAATATCATGATAGTTTTAAGAAAAATTAATACTAACATCAGAATGTAAATTTCAATGGCCCAAAAAGGAAATCTGAACTATTACCCTTTTTTACAAAATTTACAAAATTAGTCTCTCCAAGACTTGGTCTCTAATAAAAATATGAGTTTGATTTGCATATAAATTAGCAGCATATTTGCATAACAAATTATTAAATAAAAAAGAGCATTTACATGCATACCACCCAATTCCTATGCATTTACATACCTAACACCTAAATTTTGCTTCACATTTATGCCACCCAAATCTTTCATATCACATCAAAAATATCATGATTTTGACTTTTTAAAAGTCAGATACATATTTTCATGCACGAGTAAGACAACATATATATAAAAATTCAAGTTTAGGTGTAAGATTTGCAAACATATACAAAAAAAGCAATAAAAAAAAACCAATTTCATTGTTCAATAAACTTATACAACCATTCTCTGGAAAATATACAATTGAAGAAGCACCAATTGGCACATAATGAAAATATCTCAGGATTTAAAAAGAAAATAAAAAAGGTGAAAAGATAAATATTATGTACATTTTGTGGACAGATCTAAGAACTTAAATAATAAAGTAATTAAAGAATAAAAGAATCAAAATTGAAAATAATTTCCACATAGAAACTGACCTTATCACCATCACTCAACTTTGGTACAAGACAAAGGCGAGTCAGCTGAAATATTGTTTAGATATTGGAATTCTGGTCTTTGCTACACTTTGTGATTAGATCATAGTTCATTGAAGCAAGCTGAGATAGATTCTGTAAGAACATATTTAGAAGTCAGTAATTCACAATATCTTCATCTTCAAAAACATTTTATTCGGTATGATTATAATAAGATCAAAGATATAAAGGCTATTTGAGCGGTTC